TATCTTTCAGTCGTAAATCTTCATCTCTCAAATTTGGGAACAACTGACTCTGTAATGCAAATTTTGTGTTGTGTTTTGTATTGATTACATCAACATAAGGTCCAAATCTCAAACCGCTAATAAAAAAAATTAAGTTTCACCATATTACACCATCCTGCCTTGTAACTTGAACCGAAACCTCCCAGCCCTAACTACCAGCACATCACGAACCTAATGTAACATCATCAAATGATAGAGTATGGGATCACCATTCGGGGTAGACATATCAATGAAGTTCCCAAACGGTGTATCTCGAAAAAAAATTAACAATTCCGCATACATAAACGTCGGTCCTCGGGGGGGGGGGGGGGGGAGGCTCTACGGATCTGTTCTTTGTAGCAAAGATACCTTCACGGCAAAAATCGGGCAGAAAATTATGATTCACTAATCACTAAACTATCATACACTCATTCAAACTATCATACACCCTAACAACATATAATTAATTCAAAATTTGAGCAATTACATTTTCATACAGTTTTAAAAGGAGGAAAAATTAACCTACATGTGTTCCATAGTCATCGGATAACACACCGGAGTGTGGTTGTTCCATAATCCGTGATTTATGCACCATTGGAATGATTAACTAAGCCTCTTCGACTCACCTCCTTCGTATTTCCGCAACTAGGGTACGAGGAATGAGGTTGGTTTTGGTAATTTTGGGGTGTTCGACCAATCCTCAGAAACATTTAGCGAGCCGCATAAGCATAAAAAGATCCACAAAGCCACTTATGTGGATTCGTAAAAGCCCTAGAAAAAATTCCATTTAGTGTTATCACCTCATTTCCACAGAGGTCTGCAAAGTTCCTCAAAAGGTTAAACCGATCCACAGAGCCCCACTACGGATCTGGTGGTCATTTTACAAATCTTGAAATTTTATGGTTAAATACTTAAAAACCCTTGAGTTTTGGTTATTTCATGAAATTTCTCTTACATAATTTGTGAGATCCCCAATTTCACGGCCGTAAAATACCGATTTGCGTATGCTTTATTTGAAAATGAGAGTACCCATTTAAAGAAATATGTTGTGGAATTTGTTCCCAAAAATATGATAAAGAATTTATCAAAAATATGATAAAGAATTTATCAACGAATTTCTGAAGAAATGTATTTCCATTATATTAAAAAAAATTCGGGATGTCATTGTTAGTACAGATCAAAAGCATAAACAGAAACAACATAGGTCTTACAACATCTATTTATTCTAGAGGCCTATAATCTATTGATATCTCATCAGACCATCACACCTATGCTCTTTTGCCACTACCATTATACAAGAAACTGAGTGGGTTAGGCTTGGGATCCTAGTGAGGACATATGGTTTTCAACCTACAATAATTAAGTTTATTAATTTCATCACATCAATCAACCCGATTACCTGTTCCTATTATCCTCACCTTATCTCCCTAAAGCATCTATTATAAGGGATCTAGCCTAAGGATTTTCATCGGGATGGACAACATTGCTTAGGGGATTCATCAACAATACATGTCAAATAAGGCACCACGAGGGTGATGGAGTACACCTCGTGAACACGTTGTTCAAATAAACACCTACAGGTTGCAAGCCTGCTAGCGTTCCACTAGACTGTCTAGAATAGTCTGTGGTCGTCATCTATACTCCGGTAGATGACTGGATCATCGTAAATATCGAGGCCTCTCATTATTTTATCACACATCAACTATTTCATCTACCCATTTTTTACCCAACATTTTCGTAGATATAATATACATACACAGTTTAAATCATTTAAAACATGTATAAATCGTTCATCCAACATAGATATCAATAACATAGATAATATGCACACATAGCATGTAATTTATATTAAATAATTCATATCTATGTGTAATATGAGATTAACTATGCACTCACTTGGTAAAGTGATGATTCCTAATTTGGGAAGTGCTTTGTTTCTAACAATCCTACTTTCATTCGACGAAACCTAATATTATTACCACTACATTTTAGCCTAATATTTACTATGACTATTTACGGACGTCATCGTTTTATAAGTGTTAAACAATAATTTTCAACAAGTATGTACATACTGGGGCCACACATGAAACACCGGAAGGCATGACCATTTTGGCATTATAGCACTTTTGAAATCCAACAACCCTATGTGGCCCTCCAAACAAGATTCCCCATATCGTGAGTAGTTAAAAGATATTATAATTACACTTTGTAGATGATATTATACATATATTATTTATAAGTTCATAATAATGATACAAAACTTAAACATAAGTTATACTTAAAGTAGGGTAAGCATAACTCACTTACCGGGAGGTTTGGCTAGGAACTGGGCTCTGTGGGTGAAAAACTTCTGATTCGAAAGCTCTTCATCTCGGAGTCTTCTGGTGCTCTGAGACACAACTCTTAGCACTTGGGAATTTGATGAAGCAAAGAATCAAGTACAAATTGAATCAAAGTTTTAATGATTAAGTAAGATTGCGAGATTAGAACACCGATGTAAGTAAGATTTTTCACTTCAACTTTGTTACGCTCTTATGTTCTTACAAAGTACAAGAGATAATTCTGTCAAAAGACCTCTATCTAACTCTAGTAAACACTCCTATTTATAGGAGAGAAAAGTGTACAAAAAACATACTAAGGACTAAACAGTAAGCTTCGAATACAATGCCTTAGTAAAATATATTATAATCCATACGAAGAGTACAAAAGACTTAGACTTATTACAATCCCAAAATACCCTTACAATCTCCCCCTTTGTAATCAGAGTTGAAGACATCAATTTGTAAGAAGTTGGATTGAATACAGCATAACGCTTCGTATTTCTGTGTACCAACTTATTATCTTCTTAAGCTCCTTCTTGTCTCCCTCATTATTCTTCTTGCAATGATTCATATGAACAATTAAGTTCATATATTGCGAAGTCGAATATCTTTCTACTTCAACAGCTTGAAAAAAAAATCTTCGATCTTCCAGACTTATCCTTCCCAGAAAAGACTAAACCAAAAGGTTTCAAGCAGATTTCTCCATCAGCATATCTTTTAAGTTCTGCTTGTGTCTTCGAAGGATTCATTGGAGCAGTAATTTCAAGGCCCTTTGCTGTAGCCAACTCCACATCTTTCATTGCCAGACATTCATAATAATTCTCATTGAAGATTTTTATGTGAGTAACTCCCAGCATAAACTCTTCTGGCTCAGTGTTTTGTAAATAAGAAAATGACCTTTCCTTCAGAATTAATGCAACTTGTATAAGATCATACAAGTTCATCAATGGAAAGTTAGTAATTATGAATTCATATATACTGCCATTTGCCCTCACCACTATATATTTCAAGTTTTGGACTGTGTCTTCGAATACCACATCATTCTTTATACTTATCACTTTCTTGATCTTTGTTAAAGACCACACCTCCTCAGCAGGCTTCGCAAGAACAACATGAAATCTGATTTTCATGTGTGTTCCTTCATCCTTCTCTTTGAATTTGCTTTCAGCTTTGAATTGTGGCATGATAAACATCATTTTGTCTATAGGGAAGTCCAGCTGGTCTATTTTTGCATTTGTGACAAGATAGCTTTTCTTGGGCTTTTTCTCAAAGGAGTACATGTGATTGAATGCAACTTTAGCTTCAATCGTTTGATAATTGTAATGCTTCAAAGGATCTCCTTTGTTCAAGTCAGGAAGGTCACTAGCCCTTTGAGTCATAATACTCTGAATCATTGTCATTTCTTCAACCTCAGCCTCTACCTTTGCTTTCTTTTCCTCCTTCGATTTTTCAATCAAAATTTCTTTACCTTTTGATTTTGAGCCAGACAACATCATCATCAATTTTTGGCTTTGAAGAACTTCCTCCAATGTCAGCAGATTTACCAATCACTATTCCCTTTAGTTTAGTAATTGGTACAGTTGTTACAATTGTCGAGGTGATTGGACCAACTATTGCCATTAAGGGTTTTGTTGTTGGGATTTTTGAAGAGAATACCTTCCCCACCACTTTCGAATCTCCTCCTTCAGTCTTCGTTCCTGTAGATATTTTTTCTCCCCTTTGCATCCCTATGCTAGCAGGTGGGGCATAAGTAGTAGGAAGAAGACTAGAAATGCGTGATAGAGGAGCTAGTTGTTGGATAAGTAACTCTTCAAATTTAGAAAATTTCTGGATCAGATCTTCTGAAGATAGCGCAGACGCAGTAGACTTGGAAGATAGACTTTTAAGCTCTTTCAAAAGTGCAAACACCTCCATGAAATTTTTGTTGTCGTTGGTTGAAAGCTGAGATATCTGAGGGCTCATACTTTCATATAGCTTTGCAAACTTCATTACTGCCTCCCAAATAATGTCCACTTTCTTGTTGATGGAATCAAACTCCGTTCAAACAACAAAAATTTCTTTCTCCATATCTTCTCGTAACTCCTGAATTTTGAAGTTTACATATTCTCTCACTTTCTTTACATCCTGGTCAAACATCACATGCCTCTCTTTTGCAACTATTTTCAAATATTTCAAGTCAGATGCAAATCCAAACTTCTGTGAATTAACTCTTAACTCATTATTTTGATCAGAATGATCAATCTTCTCCAATAACCTAGACTCTGAATCTTTCAACATTCCAGAGACTTTTGTGGTTAATCTCCCTTCAAGTAATGTCAACATGCCATCAACTTCAAGGCTAGACACATCATGACCTCCCCCAAGATTAGCTTGAGATTGAATAATAGATTTAAGCTTCGTATTCAAGATCTTGAATTGTTTCATCGTCATGAGCATATGATCTGGGAATTCAGTTTCCTCCTCATCAAATTGTAGATTCTCAAAAGTTCCCCCAAAACCTTCAGATTCATTTTCAGTATCCATGAATGAATCTTTTATTGGAGAAGTACTGGTTTGTGGATCAGTTGATTGTGAAGGAAAAGGAGTGGCAAAAGGTTGTGAAATAATGTTTGCAAATGTTGGAGAATCTGTTGTGGATGTTGTAGGAATGATAGGAGTAATCTATGAAGGTAAAGAAATGAAAGATTCCGAAATCACATTCGAAGGGGTACCTTTTGTTGCTTTATTCGAATCGTCCTCACCCATGATGACATGTGTATCCATATCAGATATGTTTACAGAGATGCCTGAAGTTTGAGCCTCTACAGTAACTGTCTTGGCAATCGAAACTTCGGGTGGTGTAATAACAGATGTATCCACATGAGAAGAATCTTTAATCAAAACCGTCTCAGGTGTCTTGGGAATAGTTTCACCCTCTTCTGCAGTAGATTTTGAGGTAAGAATCACCCTTTGCTTTTTCTTCTTGGAAAGTTATTTTTCCATATCAGCAGCCAATCATTTTTTCGAAGAAGGAGAAGCAGGGGCAGATATTTCTCTAAAAATCACCTCTTGATGAGAAACTTGGGGTTTACGAAAAACATTCGTACTAGATGATCGATGCTTGTGCTTCAACTTCATCTTGATTCGTCTCAATACACCAGTCTTTGAAGGAATGACTTCCTTCTCAGTTACCTGGGTATCAGGACTAATAGGCTCCGGATGAATTGGCTCAGGTTCGATCACAGGAACCTGCTTCGTACTCTTTGATGACTGAACCTTTGTACTCGAAGACCCAGCATCAGTCTTCTTCGCCTTATTTGACTTCTTTTCAGTTGTCTGTGGTAAGAGAATCCCAGTATCCTCAGAAGTATCTATGGATTCTAAGTAAGAAACCAAGAATGGATTGGAAGGATCAATTCTTTTTAACGTTGCATCAGGGATACGAGCAGCAAACAGAAATACATCTGAATCATCCGTTGCATCCTTCGGACAACTGTAAGTGTGAAACACAGCCTTCTCCTCTTCCGCTGGAACTAAAATACCTTCTTTTTCATAGGAATGCTGCAAAATTAGACTCCAATATCGAGCACACGAAATGCCATGAATAGCATTCGTATTTTCGATACTCTTTTGAAAATCCTTCCACAGTTGTGTTGAGTAATCAACCTGAAGATCATAGTACAACCCGACAACCATGGCGTATACCTCCAGTCTTCCCTTATCTTGCCCAACCGTTCTGCCAGTTAAACATCGGAGAAAAATCCCAAACAGAAAATTCCATACACTTGGTAACCCTGACTTCTTAAAGTGACTAATCTTTGTCAATTGGGGTTGATGACCCATTTCATTGAACATGTATACGATTTGTGGAAAAGTAAAAGTAACATACGGTGGTGAATTCGGTGTGGCAAGGATTTGGCAAAAAAGCTTATTTGATAACCTAACCTTTTTATCATTGATTAGGTCGAATGTAACAGCTTCCAAGGCTTTTGAATATGTTGCAGTTGAACCGGCTTGAGATAACCAAGAAAGAGGAACAAAGAATGAGTTAAACAGGGCCTTTGATAATACCGATTTTTGCAGAGCAACCACCAGCATTTTCAATTCTTCAGGATACAGAGAAACATTTGATTCAACCTGGTAATTACTACCTTGAATCTTCATGATCGGCAAAGAAGTTACATCATCAGTTGTGTGATAAAGTGTAGCATCAGGATTTGAAGTCGCCATTTTTAGGGTTTGAAAGCAGATGATTATCAGAGAAACTTTAGCAAGATGAAAGCGTAAACTAATAATGAACCCTTTAATCCCCTTTTATATGTAACTCTTAAATTTGAAATCAAAGTAGGATATACATTTAATGCTTGCTGACATGTCACCCAAAATAGCGCATCATGATGATGATAAAGTAACCATGTGTTAAAGAGTAACTGTCACATCGCCTTGAAAACCAGAAGTATTATAAAACATCTCCTCAAACAGCCTGTATTTATTGACCCAATGGAATTGTAACCATCAGAAACCCTTCTGATAGAAGTTAGGCTCTTTCACTTTTGGGTTGAAAAGCGAAGTCATATACCAGATATTTGAAATCATCAGCCTGAGTTGGTGTTACTCAGAACCTCAAGGATTCCGTGAGTGCAGTGGGTCAACAAAATAAAGATAAGAAGCAAAGTAAAACAAAATTTTTGGATATGTAATGATGTCAAACCTACAATTTGACACGAAGGCAGATAAAATCCCGGGCAAAGATTGCTTCATTAATTATCAAGAGAGATAATCAACAACTTGTGTAGTTTCCCGTGAATTACAATCGAATACTTGTAAATAAGTATCAAAGGGCTTCTTTTCAAGGTTTCAACAGGTGGCATACAAATTTCATTACATATCATCCTTAACATAAGGTGAGTAATTGTAACAAAAATTACTTTCTTGATCAGTGTAGTTAGTGACAAGTGTGATTTGAAAAATATTAAATGTAACTTTGGGATTCAAAGTAAACTCACACGGATATCATATTCATAAAAAAATTGTATCATGGATCTTGTTGGGTAACAAACACCATGGGTTTCGAATGTTTGATCAAGATCACTCATATGAAATGAATATGATTTGGAGTTTTGAAAATAGGTACTGAAACAAAAGTTTCGTAAAGTCTGGAACATAGTTCCCCGTTAATTCCTTAATTTGCAAGAAATTTGGGTTTCACTTTCATCACGGTCTCATGATGTCAAATCATAAACACAGATTGTTGATATGTCTAAGTCTCGATTGGTTTGATCAGAGACCTCTTGGACATATGTCTTCGTGTGTGATCGTGAAAGAAATTTTAGATGAAAAAGATTGGTGAAGATCTGAAGTGTACCTCTGTTATATTTGGACCAAACAGAAAACACTTAACTCATGTGAGAAGAGTAAGGTAGCTCATTGGACTAATGTGAATATAAGCTTATTGGGTAGAAATCTTCATATGAAACATTTCATTAAGGCTTTCTAACATTGAGTCAATTCGAGGCTTCGGACAACATGCAACAACATGCTTCTAGGGACATTTTAACTAGTTTTTTAAAAAAATATTGAAATTCAAATATTAGAAATTTATACCTGACCCTAGACTCTGCAAACATTTGCCTCTTCACATCTTCAAGAATAGCTACAACAAAGTACTCAAAAGAATGAAGAAAGAAAATCTTTTTGTTGTTTTTGATTTTTCGAAAATAAAGAACAAAATTAACAAAATGAAAATATTTTTGATGTTTTTGATTTTTCGAAAATAAAGAACAAAACAAAACAAAAATATTTGTTGTATACCTATGAAGTTTTAAAATGAGATGAAAAATGCCAATCATACGAATTCGAAGCATACGACGAGTGACTTATGAACAGTAACCTTATCTGTTGATGACATGTCGGTGAATTATCAACCATTCCAAGTCCTTCCAAAATCCTCATAAACAATTTTTCATCCAAAGCTTTCGTGAAAATATCAGCCAACTGATCAGTTGTTTTCACAAAATGAACTTCAATATTCCCATCCTCTACATGATCTTTTATGAAGTAATAACGAAGAGCAATGTGTTTGGTCTTCGAATGTTGTACAAGATTATGAAAAATTCTTATTTCAATTTGAGAATCACAATATAAAGGGATCTTTTTCATATTAATTGCATAATCACGTAATTAACTTTGAATCCAAATTATCTGAGAAGTGCATGCAGCAGCAACAACATATTCAGCTTCGGCTGTTGAGGTAGAAACACATGTCTACTTTTTTGATTGCCAGCTTACCAACTTCCCATCAAGCAATTGACAACCACCACTTGTGCTCTTCCTATAAAGGTTACATCCTCCCAAATCTGCATCTGAATAAGCTTGAATAAAGAATCAAGTATTCGAAGGGTACCACAATCCAAGTGAAGATGTTCCTTTGAGTAACGAAAGATATTCTTTACAGCAGTGAGATGTGGTTCTCGAGGATTTGATTGATACCTAGCACAGTTACACACAGAAAACATGATATCAGGTCTACTTGCAGTTAAGTAAAGTAAAGGTCCAATCATGCTCCTGTATAGAGTTAGATCAATAGATGGTTTATCTAACGAAGGAGTTAGTTTTATGCTGGTTTCCATTGGTACTCGTAACTTTGTGCTATTCATCATCCCACACTTTTCCAATAAGTTCTTCGTATATTTCTCTTGATTTATAAAAATACCTTCTCTATTGTGACGAATGTTTAAACCAAGAAAATTGTTAATTTTACCCATCATGCTCATTTCGAACTTACTCTTCATCAGGTCTTCGAATTCTTTAGACAAAACATGGTCAGTTGAGCCAAAAATAATGTCATCAACATAAATTTGAACAAGCATTATATGATTCCAAACTTTGTTACGAAATAATGTTTATCAAATTGTTTGGCATAATAATCATCAAAAGTAAGATTGAATGTTTCTTCCACTTTTCGAGTTCGTTTGTTGAGCACACAACAGGCAACAAAATTATGCGAATATCCAAGGAAAATCCCTTCATCAGCTTCCGCTTGAAATTTCAAAAGATTATCCTGAAGATTCATAATAAAGCTCCTGCATCCGAAAACATGGATAAATTTCACATTTGGTTTTCTGTTATTTATGATTTCATAAGGAGTAATATTAAAACGATGATGGATGAAAGATCTATTATGAGTAAAACATGCAGTGGATATTGCTTCAGCTCAAAGATATTGTGGAAGATTCGCATTAGCCAGCATTGTTCTTGTAGCTTCGCATAGAGATCGATTTTATCGCTCAACAACACCATTTTGTTGTGGTGTATATGGAGATGAAAAATTATACGAAATGCCTTTATCCACCAAAAATGAATCAAGAACCTTGTTCTTAAACTCAGTTCCATGATCACTTTTTATCCATCGAACCGTCTTCTTTAGCGTTTTTTCCATTTGTTTGATAAAGTCAATCATGATTTGTGCAACTTCTGATTTAAGCCTGAGAAAATAAACCCACGTGAATCTTGAAAAATCATCAACAATAACTAAGATATATCGTTTATGGTTGACTGTTGAAACTGTCGAAGGACCACATAAATCAATATGTAAAAGTTCCAGTGGTTCAACAATCTTCGAATCAATTGTAATTTGATGACCTTGTTCATGTTGTTTGCCAACTTCACATGCTGCACATAATGAATTATTATTAAATTTGATTATAGGTAAACCTCTTACCAGATCTTGAACAACAAGTTTATTGATGTTTCGAAAGTTGAGATGTGAAAGTCTTCGATGTCATAGCCAACTTAGGTCAGATGTTGCTTTCGAAAGAAGGCATACTGCAGGTTTGCCTAAAATTGGATTGATGTCCAAAGTAAACATATCACCCTTCTGTTTGGATTTCAGCAAAACTTCTTTTGTATTCACATTTAAAATGATGCTTCCTTCTTCGTTAAAAAGTACTTGATTTCCAGTGCCTACCACAAGTTGTGATACAATTATCAAGTTGTGTTGTAAGCCTTCTACATATGCAACACGATTCAATGTGAATTGTCCATTTGTGATTGTCCCATATCCTTTGACCTGGCACTTCTGATTGTTTCCAAACTTGACAACTCCAGCATTTTGTAAGCTTCGAAAGTCTCTTAGATTCTCCTTCTTCCCAGTCATGTGACGAGAGCAACCACTATCAATATACCATTTGTTGTCGTATTGCTCTTCACATAGTATCTGCAATCATTGAAAGAATTTAGGTACCCAAGGCTTTTTGGGTCCTTGGAAATTAGGTTTCAATAAAGAATAATTGTTGACAAAATCACAAACTATAATTTTGATACTATTAATAATATCGACATTTTCATTTGCAGGGATTGAAACATAAGGTTTTGTATGTTTCGTATGTATACTTACAACACCCTTCGCATTCTGAGTTTACGATTGTTCAGTCTTCGCTTTTACGACATATTTCCAGGCTTTTACCAAGATATTCGAATCTTTTGATGATGAACTGTCATTTGAAGAAGTATTGACATACTTATCATATGCTTCGTTGATTTGGTTTTTCGAATA